ATAGCCATTCTAATGGGCGTGAGGTGATATCTTAGCGTTGTTTTGATTTGCATTTCCCTGATGATTAGTGATGTTGAACATCTTTTCATGTGCTTATTGGCCATCTGTATATCTTCTTTGGAGAAGTGTCTGTTCCTCTGTCCATTTTTTGATTGGGTTATTTGTTTTTTTGTTGTTCAGTTGTGTGAGTTCTTTATATATTATGGAGATTAACCCCTTGTCAGATAAATGTTTTGCAAATATTTTCTCCCAGCTGGTGGGCTGTCTATTCACTTTGATCCTGGTTTCATTTGTCTTGTAGAAGCTCTTTAATCTGATAAAGTCCCACTTTGCTTATTTTTTCTTTAGCTTCCCTAGTCTGAGTAAGCACGGCATCTGAAAAGATTCCTTTATGACCAATGTCAAATAGTGTGGTGCCTATATTTTCTTCTATGAGTTTTATATTTTCAGGTCTCACATTCAGGTCTTTGATCCATTTTGAATTAATTTTTGTGAATGGCAATAGCAGATGGTCCACTTTCATTCTTTTGCATGTGGCTGTACAGTTTTCCCAACACCATTTATTGAAGAGACTTTCCTTTCTCCATTGTATGTTCTTAGCTCCTTTGTCAAAAATTAGCTGTCCGTATATGTGTGGTTTTATTTCTGGGCTTTCAATTCTGTTCCATTGATCTGTGTGTCTGTTTTTGAACCAGTACCATGCTGTTTTCATTACTATTGCTTTGTAGTATGTTTTGAAGTCAGGTATTATGATGCCTCTAGCTTTCTTCTTTTTTCTTAGGATTGTTTTAGCTATCCGGGGTCTTTTGTTGCCCCATATGAATTTTAGTATGCTTTTTTCTATTTTGTGAAGAATGTCATTGGGATTCTGATTAGGATGGTACTGAATCTGTAGACTGCTTTAGGTAATATAGACATTTTAACCATGTTTAGTCTTCCAATCCATATGCATGGGATGTCTTTCCATTTCTTTATGTCATCATCAATTTCTTTCAATAATGTCTTGTAGTTTTCATTGTATAGGTCTTTCACCTCCTTGGTAAGATTTATTCCTAGATATTTTATTCTTTTTGATGCTATTGGAAATGGTATTATTTTTTTGAGCTCTCTTTCTGTTAGTTCATTATTAGCATACAGAAATGCAACTGATTTTTGTAGACTGATTTTGTACCCTGCGACTCTGCTGTAGTTTTTGATTATTTCTGATAGTTTTCCAGTGGATTCTTTAGGGTTTTCTATATATAAAATCATGTTGTCTGCAAATAGTGAGAGTTTCACTTTTTCGTTGCCTATTTGGATTCCTTTTATTCCTCTTTCTTGCCTAATTGCCCTGGCCAAAACCTCCAGTACTATGTTGAATAACAGTGGTGAGAGTGGGCAGCCTTGTCTCGTTCCTGTTCTCAGAGGAATGGCTTTCAGACTTTCCCCATTGAGTATTATGTTGGCTGTGGGTTTGTCATAAATAGCCTTTATTATGTGGAGGTACTTTCCTTCTATTCCCATTTTGTTGAGAGTTTTTATTATAAATGGATGTTGGATCTTCTCAAATGCCTTCTCTGCATCTATTGAGATGACCATGTGGTTTTTATTCTTCATTTTGTTGATATGGTGTATCACGTTGTTTGATTTGCAGATGTTGAACCATCCCTGAGTCCCTGGTATAAATCCCAATTGATCATGGTGTATAATCTTTTTAATGTGTTGCTGTATTCAGTTTGCCAATATTTTGTTGAGGATTTTTCTATCTATGTTCATCAGAGATATTGGCATGTAATTTTCCATTATTGTATTGTCTTTGTCTAGCTTTGGTATCAGAGTGATGTTGGCTTTGTAGAATGAGTTAGGAAGTGTTCCATCTTCCTCTATTTTTTGGAATAGTTTGAGAAGGATAGGTATTAAATCTTCTTTGAATGTTTGGTAAAATTCACCAAAGAATCCATCTAGTCCTGGACTTTTATTTTTTGGGAGGTTTTTGATTACTATTTCAACCTCTATACTTGTGATTGGTCTATTCAGATTCTCTATTTCTTCTTGGTTCAGTTTTGGCAGGTTGAATGAGTCTAAGAATTTATCCATTTGTTCTGGATTGTCCAATTTGTTGCCATATAGTTTTTCATCATATTTTTATAACCCTTAGTATTTCCATGGCATCCATTGTGATTTCTCCTCTTTCATTTCTAATTTTATTTATTTGAGCCTTTTCTATTTTTTTCTTAATAAGTCTGGCTAACAGTTTGTCAATTTTGTTTATCTTCTCAAAGAACCAACTCTTTGTTTCATTAATCCTTTCTACTGTTTTTTTGGTCTCAATTTCATTTATTTCTGCTCCGATTTTTATTATTTCTCTCCTTCTGCTGACTTTGGGCTTTGTTTGTTCTTCTTTTTCTAGTTCTGTTAAATTAAGGTTGCTTATTTGGGCTTTTTCTTATTTGTTAAGGTGGGCTTCTATCGCTGAGTTTCCCTCTCAGGACTGCTTTTGCTGCATCCCATATGATTTGGTATGGCATACTTTCATTTTTGTTTGTTTCCAGATATTTTTTGATTTCTCCTTTAATTTCATCAATGATCCATTGGTTGTTCAGTAGCATGTTGTTTAATCTCCCCATCTTTGTCACTTTCCCAGTTTTTTTCTCGTAGTTGATTTCCAGTTTCATAGCATTATGGTCTGAAAAGATGCTTGTTATGATTTCAATCTTCTTAAATTTATTGAGGCTTGCTTTGTTTCCCAACATATGGTCTATCCTTGAGAATGTTCCATGTGCACTTAAGAATGTGTAGTCAGCTGTTTTGGGATGGAGTGGTCTGTATACGTCTACTAGGTCCATCTCATCCAGTTTTTCATTTAAGTCCACTATTTCTTTACTGACTTTTTGTCTGGATGATCTATCCATTGATGTAAGTGGGGTATTAAGATACCCTACGATTATTGTGTTGTTGCTAATGTCTCCTTTTAGGTTTGTTAATAGCTGCTTTATGTACTTTGGTGCTCCTAGATTGGATGCATATATATTTATAACTGATATGTCTTCTTGGTGGAGTGTCCTTTTTAGCATTATATATTGCCCTTCTTTGTCTCTCTTAACCTGTTTTATCTTGAAGTCTACTTTGTCTGATATGAGTATGGCAACACCTGCTTTCTTCTGTTTGCCACTAGCTTGGAATATTGACTTCCATCCTTTCACTCTGAGCCTGTGCTTGTCTTTAGAGCTGAGATGTGTTTCCTGGAGGCAGCATATTGTTGGGTCTTGCTTTTTAATCCATCCGCCACTTTGTATCTTTTGATTGGAGAGTTCAATCCATTTACATTTAGAGTAATTATTGATATATAAGGGCTTAATGTTGCCGTTTTGTCACTTATTTTCAGGTTCTTTTGCATTTCCTTTGTTTCTTGTCCCATTTGTTTTGGACTGCCAATTCAGTTTGGTTGTTCTGTCTTATGACTCTTCTAGTTTTCTCTTTATTTATCATATGTGATTTTGTTTTGATTATTTGTTTAGTGGTTACCTCGAGGTTTGTATAAAAAGTCTTTTGCATGAGATAGTCCATTATCTGATGGTCTCTTATCTCCTTATACTAAGTCAATTCAATCTCTTTCCTCTTCCCCTTCTAAGTTATTCTTGTTACAACTTATTCTATCTTGTGTTACGGGTGTGTGTTTATAGTGATGAGGTTGTATTTATTTTTGGTGTTTTCCTTCCTTTGATCTTTGATTTTGGTATTTAAGTGGTTGCTTACCTATTCTGGTAAAGATCTACTATTTTTCTGATTTTGTCTACCTATTTTTCTCCTTGCTCCAAGCTTTGTATTCCCTTTCTCTTCTTTTTTTCAGGCCTGAGGGCCTTCTTGTGCATTTCTTGTAGTGGGGGTCTCGTGGCCATGAACTCCCTTAGCTTTTGTTTATCTGGGAATGTTATTATTTCTCCATCATATTTGAAGGATATTTTTGCTGGATAGAGTATTCTTGGCTGAAAGTTTTGGTCTTTCAGTATTTTGAATATATCATTCCAGTCTCTCCTAGCCCGTAAAGCTTCTGTTGAGAAATCCGGTGAGAGCCTGATGGGAGTTCCTTTGTACGTTATTTTTTGTTTTTGTCTAGCCGCCCTTAAAATTGTTGCTTTGTCATTGACTTTAGCCAGCCTTACCACTGTATGCCGTGGGGTGGGCCTTTGCCTGCTGACGTATTTAGGCGACCTATTGGCTTCACTTACTGGTATTTCCTGCTACTTCCCCAGATTTGGGAAGTTCTCAACTATTACTTCCTTGAATAAGCTCTCTGTTTCTCTTTCCCTCTCTTCTCCCTCAGGAATACCTATAATTCTTATGTTACATTTCCTAATTGAGTCAGATATTTCTTGGAGACTTTCTTCATTTCTTTTTAGTCTTAGTTCTCTCTCCTCCGCCATCAGAAGCATATCTGTATTCCTATCCTCTATAATGCTAATTCTTTCCTCCATATTGTCAGCTCTGTTCCTTAAAGATTCCAGATTCTCCTTTATCTCCTCCATTGTGTTTTTCATCTCCATCAATACAGATCGGTTTTTCTTTATGATTTCAATTTCTTTTGTGAAGAAACACCTTATCTCGTTGAATTGTTTATCTGTGTTGCCTTGTATTTCATTGAGCTTTCTCATGATAGCTATTTTGAATTCTCTCTCATTTAAGTTATGGATTTCTGTGCCTTCAGGATTGATTTGTGGTTGCTTGTCATTTTACTTCTGGTCTGGCGATTTAATGTACCTTTGCATTGTGGTTCCTGTATTCGTTTTGTTTTTCCACATCCTGGAAATATCTGGTTGTAGTTTCCACCTGCCGCCACCATGTGGGGGTTAAGGGCTGTGTAATCTGAGACCCTCGCACTCCGCCCTGGCTGCTCTGCGGCCATAGGCCGCCTACCTGCGATCCGCCCCGGCCACTCTGTCTGGTCAGCTGAGCTGCAGTGTCAGGCATGTGGGGTTGGGGGGAGTGGGGGGGCTCTCTCTTTTGCCCGCTGGGTCCCTGGAATGGGAGACTTCTCGCTCACCCCTCATTATCCGCTCTCCTTGGGTGCTCAAATGTTGATGGCACCCCTGCAGCAGTTATGAGTCCTCTGTGTGGGAGTTTCCCACTGGCTGAGAGAGCCCAAAGAGGTACGGTTTCCACACAGAGGGCCGCCCCCTCTCTGGGAGCCACACGGACCCGAATCGCCGGTCTGATGGGGAGGGAGAGGATTTCTCCTTACCTCTCCCCACATTCTCCGGGAGCCCCAGCAGGTCCACTCTCAGATGTGCAGCATTGTGGGTCTTTCCAATCTTCCTTTTTGCTGTGTGAGACTCCCTCGTTGGTCTGTGACTGTCCCTTTTGTTGTATCTTATCGGGGGAAGAGTTTACAAGAAAGCTCACTCCGCCATGACACTGACGTCACTCCTTAATTATTTTTATTTAACATTACTGTCTCAAATTCTCATCTGGTTCTCTTTGTTGTATGTGACTCCGTTCTGCAAACAGCCACCCTCGTCCCTTGGTCTCATGATTCTCCTCTCCTAGTTTTTGTGCTCCATTTCTGACTCTTCTTACTCATCTCCTGACATACATGGGCTCTCCTTCTAGCCCCTAAAACACTGTTGCTCCCCAGCGCTCTGCCCCTGGCTCTCTTCTTCTTACTCTACACCAGGCCTCTCAGGCTTTGTGCAGCTGAGATAACCTGGCCAGTTTGTTAGTAGTTAAGTCAGCTGATAGTAGTTAAGATTACTGCCCTCCAACCCCAGAGATTCTGATTCTGAAGATCTGGGGTGAGGCCAAGGAACCTGCATGTGTGATCAGCTCAGCTGGTGAAATACACTGACCTACTGCTAGATAATCTCTTTCAATCTCATTGCTTTAATGACCACCAGCACTTCAAATGACTCTCACATCTCAACCTCCAGGCCAGTCCTGTCCTAACTAGACGGTATTACCTGCCTACTGGATCCCTGTATTTCAGACCTTACAAGTACCTCAATTCTTTTTCCTGAATAGAGCTCATCATCTTTTCTTCACCCTGGCTCTTCTTCCTGTATTCCCCTGTGGCACCACCATGCCTGAGTACCTAAACCATTCCTTCATACAACAACATGTATCAAACACCTACCATGTGCCCAGCTTTGGGCTAAATGATGGAGAAACAAGGTCTATATTAGATAGGCATGGTCCCTGTTCGTATCGTGCCTACACGTCGGGGCACAGACAAAAATCAAGTCAAATAAAGAAAAGAAGAAAATAATTACAACTTTACTTGACCTTGTAAGGTAAAGAGTATCAAGAGAAGGCTCCTTTTGATACAGTGGGCAGAGGAAGCCTCCTTGAGAAAGGGCCATTTAAGTTGAGATGACTCAAGAATGAGAGGAGCTGGCCATGCAAAAAGGACAGGCAAGGGAGCAAGAAATTCCACGCAGGCAGAAGATATGGGCTGAGCCTCCAAGACAGAAAAGAGTATCGTGTTTTCAAGGAATAGAACCAAAATCAGCTGGGCCAGAACAGAGTAAGCAAGTGGAGTGTGATGTAAAATGAAGCTGAAGGGACAGGAAAAAACTGCAAAGGCCATAAAAATATGAAGCATCTTATCCAAGGCAAGAGTTCTTAACCCTTTTTGTGCCCTGGACCCCTTTAGCAGTATGGTGAAGCCAAAGGACTTCCTTCTCAGAGTGACATGTTTAAATGTATAAAACAAAATCAACACGATTACAAAGAAAACTAGTTACATGAAAATATTAATAAAACAAATTTGTGCTATAGCAATATATACATGCTCTTTATCAATATATTAAATAAGATCTAGTGGCAGGTCTCATAGTTATCATCATTTCTAAAGTGGGGATGAATGCAAACAATATTTCAAGATATCTACAACAACAATAATGGTACAAAAAATGTCTGTAATTTCTACTGGTGACAAAATCATAGGTATTGCTACTATTACTATGGTTTGTTGTCTGCTTCATAATTGAAGGAAATGCTAAATTTCAGGTAGAGGGTAGTAAAAATCCAGATGTAATTTTCCCCCATCCATGTTCCTGGATGCCCTAAATTCTGCTTATTCCATCTCATCTTCCTGGAGAACTCTAGTCTAAAAGAAGCTTCTTCCCTTAGAAGTCTTCTTCTAACTTAAGTAGACTATTGAGGAACTTGACCTGAGAGTATCAAGAACAGGGACAAACAGGTACAAAAAAAGACAACCACTTTGTATATATTATGAAATTCCAAAGAAACGTGACAATGCAAAACCAAATTTCAATGTTCTTTTGCTTTCAGCAGTCACTCTCAAATTATCTTTGAATAAAAAAGAGATAGTTTTGGCCTGGAAAAAAAAAAACAAGAACTCCACAAACTGAAGGCAAGGGTAAAGTCCTTTGGCAAGAGAAAATGGTAAGCCTACAAAACAAGTATCTTTTCAACACTTACAGAAACTTTCATAAACTAGAAAGCCTCCATCTTCTTACTCCCATTTAGAGCAAACATCCACTTTCAGAACCATGCTTTGTGACTCAGTGACCACAGGATAAAGCCTGGAACTGCCACAGGAGAGCTTATGAGTTGTCAGGCATTGGAATAAAACCACACAAATGAAAAGCTGCACTTCCACATCTGTCACTTAGGAAATACATAATGCTTCAGGAACAACCAAACTACAATTTTTTGAGAGGGAAAAGTGGCCTGACTTTACATGCTGTTATCTCAAAGCCAGAGTGGATAGTGGCACTCACTGGCATATTAAAGCACTGACACAATATAGCATAATGGTTACGAACACAGGCCCTGGGGTCACATTGGCCAGGCTTGAATCCCAGCTCCACCACAAACCAGCTGTACAACTCAAGGCAAATCACTTTTCTAATCCTCAGTTTGCTACCTGAAAAATAACCTGCCTCACGGGGTTGCTATGAGAATTAAGTTAGATGAAATATACATAAAGTGCTTAGCACAGCGCTGGGCACATAGTAAAAAGTGGTTAATTGACCTTAGAAAAGAACAAGTCCTCCCTCCCCATCCTAACCCCATTACCTCTGTCAAATAGCCAGTTGCATTCACAAACTTCTCAAATTCAGCGTTACTGACTTCATAGGCATCCATGTAAAAGGCATCAATAGCGACTCTCCTTGCAGGTGCTTCCCCATCCTGCCTTATCTGAGGATCATCTGTGCCCATCGTAAACACTCCAGCAGGGATGGGGACCATCTGCAGTGAAAGGGGAAACATGGGGAGTCATGCCATCACAGCCAAAGTGAACCTGCGTTAAGTGCAGAACACCAGCACACAGGAAGCACCCAATAGTTAGTAATCCCCAGCCCCCCGCAACAGAAATCACTGTAAAATCAGTAAAATCACTCCATATTCCAAAGAAAGTGAATCACTAGTCACAAAAAAGAAGTGAAAATTCTTTAGGAAAGCAGTTTCTTTAGTCAAAACTCTACATGAAGGGCCCGCCCGGTGGCGCAAGTGGTTAAGTGCGCGCGCTCTGCTGCGGCGGCCTGGGGTTTGCCGGTTCGGATCCCAGGCGCGCACCGACGCACCGCTTATCAAGCCACGCTGTGGCGGCGTCCCATATAAAGTGGAGGAAGATGGGCATGGATGTTAGCCCAGGGCCAATCTTTCTCAGTAAAAAAGAGGAGGATGGGCAGATGTTAGGTCAGGGCCAATCTTCCTCACAAAAAAAAAAAAAACTCTACATGAAGGGCCAGCCCCATGGCCTAGTGGTTAAGTTCATCATGCTTCACTTCGGCAGCCTGGGTTTGGTTCCCAGGTGCAGACCTACACCACTCGGCAGCGGTCATGCTGTGACAGTGATCCACATAGGAAAAAGAGGAAGACTGGCAGATTTTAGTTCGGGCTGAATCTTCCTCAAGCAAAAAGAGGAAGATTGGCAACAGATGTTAGCTCAGGGCAAATCTTCCTCAGCAAAAAAAAAAAAAAAGAACTCTAGATGATGCAAATTTGTGCGTGCTATGGAAACAGATCTGGAGCAACAGTCACCAAGCTGTTAATGGCTGGAGTGCAGAGGCAGGTAGAATATTCCACTTCTTTACACATTTGTGTATTTTTTTCCTTTAATATGCTCTCATTTCTTTTGAATTATTTTTAAAAGCAAATGTAAAAATGTCATATATAATATCTTTAAAAACCCACTGAATGAATTTGGGCCTCCAATGATAATGGAAAAGACTTAAATCACTGAATAGAAAATCTAAAAAGTTTATTAAGGGTCCATGTCTCGTCCTTGTTATGTCCTTGTCCTTAATTAATTTCTTATTAAGACTCTAACTGTAATTATTTTGTTCCTATCTACCATCCCACATAAAGTCTAAACTCCAAGAGAGCAGTGACTGAGGCTGCCTTGTTCACACCTATATTCCCAGCACTGAACATAGGGTCGAGGATTACACCAAAAATTTTCAGTTAAAAACACAGGCCTGTATTATGTTAAGTGAAATAAGCCAGAAAGAGAAAGACAAACACGGCATGATTTCACTAATATGTGGAATATAAACCAACACATGGACAGAGAGAACTGTAAGGTGGTTACCAGGCGCAAGGGGGTTGGGAGGTGGGCACAAGGGGTAAAGGGAGGCATCTATATGGTGACTGACAAACAATAATGTACAACCAAAATTTCACAATGTTATAAACTATTCAGACATCAATTAAAAAATTTAAAAAAACAAAAAACATATGCCCATGTGCAACACAATGAGTCATTAAGGAAATGAAAATCAAAACTACAAAGAGATTCCACTTCAGGCCCACTAGCATGGCTCTAACCAAAAAGATGGACAATAACAAGTGTTGATGAGGATGTCTTACACATTGTCTTACTTTCTAATCATCCGAGTGAAAAGTCAATTCATTGATTTCTCAGCACCTGAGGAATTGTCAAGTGTCTGATCTATAAAACAAGGGTTCAAATTAAGGGAGGAAAAAAAGAAGTCTAAAAAGATAACTAGTTGGAATAAAAAGAGAAAGTGGTTTAGCAATAAGAGCAGAAGAGTTACAAAAACCAGATCAGAAGAAACAGCAAGTAGCAATCAACACTCAGTGATTCCTACTTTCTATTTCCACTGGCTGTCTTTGCGACTGGTTGCCTTCAACTCTGTGCTTGTATTTCCCAATGAAAATGGAGCTATTTTTATCTATGACATATGGGTCATAAATGTCTTATTATTTGTCCAATGTATTACTATTATTCTAAGAAATCATGCTTGACTACTCCGTCCCCTAATCACATTACTCAGGTCACCTAGTCTTACCAGATCTCCTAAACATATATCCCTCTAATCTCTCCCCTCTTTTCTATTCCCAGATAATTGCAGTAACCTCACAATTGGACTCCCCATCTCCAGTCTCATCCTTTCACATCCCTCCCTGCTCCTCTCTAACCCATCTACCTTCCATTCAATCATTCATTCAACTAATATTTAAGCCCTTACTGAACTTTCTGAAATGCCAGTCTTCTATCTCCAATGCAATTTGTTACAGCTCTGTTTGTAACAGAAAAAAATTAGAAAAAACCTAAACGTCCATCAACAGTGGACTGGCTAAGTAAATCACGGGCCATCAGAAAATTAAGCAGCCATAAGAAAAGAACAACAATGAAAACAAAAGAAAGAAAAGATGATTTTACTACATTGATATGGAGAGATCTCGCCAAGAGAAAGAGCTAAGTGAACACAGCAAGTGCACCACAGTACGCATGGTGTACTACCATCTGTACGAAAGGAGGTGGGGGACAAATGGAGTCACGGATTTTTGTAGTTGCTTCTATTTGCAGAACATAGTTTTAAGAAGATATACAAGAAACTCATGCAGGGGTTGTTTGAGGGGAAGGTTATCAGGTAAGTGGAAAATTTTTCACTATATCCCCTTCTATATTATTATTTTTTTTATTTGAAACCATATAAATGTACTGTCTATTCAAAAAAATAAACAATAAAACAAAGTGTCAATCTGATCATACCCCATTCCTACTTAAACTCTTCAGGGATCGCCATCACCTTTCAGGATAAAATAAAATATCTAAACTCAGCGCCTAATCTCTCACCATCTCTCACACCCTGTACTCCACTTGCATTTTCTTTGTCTCTTTGTAAATAACGTCAGTGTTCAAGGATCACCTCCTCCATGATGGTCACCTCCTCCAGGAGGCCTTTGCTGCCTGCATTTCCCTGGCTCGGTCATATGCCCCTCATTTGGGTTCCTCTGATGTGTACCTCTATCTGTCCTAACAACTGACACACACAGTATTTTAATGACGTGTTTTCACCTTCTCTAGATCCTAGACTCCTTGGGGACCAGAAATAAAGTTTTCATTTCTATATCCCCAGTGCCTAGTATGGTGCATAGTTCACAGCAGACACTCAAAAAATATCGACTGAATGAGTGAGATCATGAATACAATAAGGAATCTATCATGAATTATTCATAATTATAACTACAAAAATTCTATTTCACTTGTAACACAGTCCTAGACGTGGTGAGCATGTCTGCATCATAGTGAAATTTGTTTAACAGACTCTGCTCAAAGACTGAACTAGGTTCATGCATTATTCTCATTATTCTCCAAGTGTCTGGGATACAAGATTCCTCAGTCCTCAGAAGAGAAGTCAGAATTTTAAGCAGCTCCGCAAAGAAACAGAAAAACAGACTTCAGACAAAAGCTTCAAGAGTAGTCTTAAAATGATTATTAAAATGATCTAATAAAAGGTTTCATAAAGGACTTAAAGGAAAAAAAAAGCTTTCCGGCAGCAGACAAGTAGGCCCTATTCTGAGAATAGTTGCTCATCCCTCAGTGCAAAGACAAGGCTCACAGGAAACTGTGCCCATCGTACCTAATGAAGTTTTGCAATTAAGGTGAGTACCCACAATGCTAATACAATCATGACTTCCACTGTGGACTCCTGGCCTAGTGTTTTTTAATTCTTTCATTAACCATCGGAGATAACCAGCACTGAATAAGCCAAGTTTCCATTCTGTTGGCTATAGATAAAAACAGCCTGCATTGCTCTGAGTGGATCATAATTTCACTAATGATGTGAAGTTTTCTGTCCTACAAATGTAAACTGTCATTCTATTAAAATCCAGAGCATCTCATTCTATAGGACCCTAAGCCAAATAAAAAGAACCATTTTAATCAAGTCTTCACTCAAGGTCCAGATTCAAACAATCCATTTCTCCTCGAAAGTAAGTTAAAACCCCCTTTGCCACACCACAGTTTCTGCCACTGCCACGTAAGCCAGAGGCAAAGTTGAAGTCGAGAATGACTCTATTATCACTAGAACCATATTTGGGCTACACACTCCAGCCAGGTGCAGTAGGCTTCCATTATTCTTGCCCACCCAGCACCCATGCCCCCTTGTTCTTGTAAAAGCCTCAGATCCCTTTGAAAACCCCTTCTTCAACTCTCTACGTATACCTGGCTCAGGTGGATGACTTGACTCTACCTCTTGTGACTCAGGCCTGGCGAATCATGGCATTCTTTTGACCACAGAGACATAATTAGGGATAGGTTCACGACCCAATCAAAGTTGATCTCAGAACTTTTGCTGGAGCTATGAGGAAAGGGGAACTCTCTCTTCCAGCTATTTAATTAGCAGGAGAAGGGACATTACCTGAAAACAGAGCCAATGCTGAAAGAGAGCCAAGAGATAGCCAAGAAGAGGGACCTGGAGATGCTGCCTGAGGCCCTGGATCCAGCTGTGTCTGGGGCCATATCTACTCTTGAACTCCCAACTATGAAAGCCCATAAATGTCCCATCTCTCAATTTTTTTTCTGCTTAAGCCAGTTTTAATTATCTTTTTTTTTTCACTTGCTGAGATTTTTGTCTTATACACAAAAGGGAAATAAGTTTATGTGTACCTCTTTTGTGTAGCTCTTCTCTCTTTTCCTTCTTTCCTCTCCTCAAACCTAACATAGAAAGCTAAAGGCTCAGGAGAAAGCCAGGTGAATAACAAGAAAAGCATGCTCTGTGGATCTGTCCACAAACTGCTGCTTTATCTGTCCATACAGGGCTTATCTATCGATACCATTCTCCTACTCTACTGCCTGCAAAGACAGACACTATTCATAGATGGAATAGCATTCAAGTTCCTTCAAGCCCTGTGATTTATCATTCTACTAAGCCTCTGTTGCCTCATCTGTAAAGTGGGGGTTAATATCTCTCACTAGATTCTTGGGAGGATGAGAT